CTTAAATGACTTGTCCATGGTTAAAAAGATAGTAGTTAATGGTGGAGTTATCAATAAAAGCAAATCTCCTGACTTTAAGTCTTCCAACATGGACAGGAGAATTTAGCTCTGTCTCCTAATGCACATTTTCTCTATTTTACATCAATAGATAAGTTGATGAATACCTATAAACTCATTTTAAAGGGATTTCTGTGGACAAAATTAAGTGTATATTTTTTTAAAACTTCAAAAAAAAATGAACACGTATGTACACCAATTGACAAATGAACCAAACTGGCTCAAACAATAATATCTATAGTTACGATAATATTTGATGCCGTTGGTTTTATGCACTTAAGACAAATTCAATAGATAGTTCATAAGAGACAGCTTTGGAGGAGTGGAAAGAACACTTCTGACCTAAAGTCAGAATGCCTGGGATATAGTCCCAGGTCTGATACATTGTAGCCAAGGAGTTGCTATATATGTAAGCTGCTACATGTATATATGTAAGCCACTTAACTTTTCTGACCTTCACTTTCCTGATCTGTAAAACAGAGAAGATGATGATGATAAAACCTCACACAGGGATGAGAAATTGTCCTTAATAGAATCTATAAACTCTAGCACTATTTGTAATTGTTAATTATTATTAACAGAACTAAAAACTACAACACTGCTTAGTGATTGGTAGAAAAAAGTGACAAGACAGTGAAGAATGATAAAATACAAATACAGATATTTTCACTAGCAAAAAAAGTCCAAAATAGAACCAGGAAATTAAAATGTAAGTTTATGATCACCAAAGGCAAAAAAAAAAGAAAAGAAAAGAAATGTTATAGAACATTGGCCCTTGAAGAAGCCTTAGAAATCATCTAGAATAGGGGTTCTTAACTTTCTTTGTGTCATGGACCCTTTGGGCAATAGTCTATGGACCCCTGCTCAGGATAATGTTTTTAAATGCATAAAATACATAGGATTGCAAAGGAAATAAATTATGTTTTTAGATGGTTAACAAATAAGCTCACGGACCCCATCTGATCTATGCCAACAAGTGTTTCTTAAGCATATACTAACTGAAGATAGAGAATGAAAAAAAAAAATTCCTGTCTTCAAGGTGTTTACATTCTACTTCCTGTGTGACCATGGGCAAGGTGCTTAACTTTTCTAGGCTTCAGTTTCTTGATGTGTAAAAAGAGGCTGTAGGACTAGATAACCTCTGAGCTAGATCCTTCTCCCATGAGATCCTAAGCATAAGCATGAAGCATGAGCTGTCTTAAGGTAGCAGAAACTCTCAGGGCCAGGGTTCTGTGAGACCTGGTATTTGACATAGTGTGAACAGGATTTCTGTGAGAAAGTGTCATTCTATCTGTCCCTCTAAAATGCTGCATGTGAAAGAATGCATATACAAATTTGAATTAAATATGACAATTTTCACTATTAAAATAGGCCCAATTTCCTCTATTTTGTTCCAAAATTTCCCCAACTTCTCTTTATCCTTGGGGTAACTTCATCAGCAAATCATCCTTTATGGGTTTTGTCACTTTATTTCAAGCGAAAGGATTCTGAGGCCAAATTGGTGTGCAGGAAGGTGCCCCAGAAATACTCTGGGAATGAACAACTCCCCTAAGACATTAAAAACAACAGGGGCTGATCAGCTGCTTTACTGCTTTATTGTCTATTTTCATAAATTCTTTGTGCAACATTTTGTCCCGATTTCTGACAGCCAAGTTTATGAAATGAATACCTATGATTCTTTTCCTTTCTCAAAACAGTTAAAAAAACCCAACAGATCTCAAAGTTAGCTGCAGAGCTCTCAGAGGTTTTTTTGTGTGTGTGTGTGTGATTGTTGTTGTATTTGTTTGTTTTAATTATTTCTGGAAATCCTGGGATATAGGTAGGAGACTGTCTTCATATGTTAGGGAATAGTGATTTAGACAAAGATCTTAAATATTCATGAAGACCATGGAAAAAGGTGGCACTGGGGTTCCTGAATCACCGCCACATGGTTCAGCTATAAAGATCAATCTCAGCAAATAGAACTTACTCAATTATTATTAATTTTAAATATCTAGTCCTATTGGGCTGTGGTCACATAGAAACAGACATGGTTCCTTGAGGAACTGAAAATCCCCAATTAACTTGGGCTGGTATTGTTAATCTACTTTGTAAAAGATTTAAGAAGACAACTTCTCCATTCAAAAGAAAAGAAAAGGAAACAGACAAATGCAACTTCAGTCTGTTAGCTATAATTCTGGGCCCCAGTACTCTATCCTTAAATTTAAAAGACACTTTGCTTCATAATTCTGTATTGTGGTGGATAGAAAGCTGGCCTGGAAACCAGGAAGACCTGGGCTCAAGTCCTGATTCTGGCATAATTGTCTGTGTGATATTGGGCAAAATCACTTAAATCTCAATGTTTCATGTAATTCTGCAGAGAAAGTGTAGACTTGCATTAGTAAAGGCCATTTCCTCACATAGCAATTCCCTATACCAAATGAAACCACAGATCTAGTCCTTATCCCGATCCTCATCCCTTATTCTCTAAATCCAGATGTAATTTAAATAAAGTAATACTCATATTAACTGATTTTACAAAGACACCTAAGTAAGCGGCTTTACTGATGGTTGCTGGTCAAATTGGCATATCCCATTTCCTCCACTGCTGTATGCAAAGTAAATGAATTGTGCATTCCCCTGATCAGAGGCTTAATCACACAAACACAAAGGAAAAAGGCAATTCTCCAAAGGAGCAATGCCTGGGCTAATTTGCCATATTATACTGTCTCTTTTCAAACATCTTTCAGCATAAAAAGATGGTCACACTAAGAACAGAAATTCTATGAAGCCCTGATATTTAACAAGAAAAATAAATATGAGGGGATAGAGTTGATTTTGTGATATAACTTGAATTACTGGTCTAACTGGAAAAATACCAAGAAAAATGGTAGCAAGAAAAAAAAAATCAGTCAACCATTTGGAAGCTTATCTCTAGTTACGCAAACAATAGACTGTTAAAATGAAGAATTCTTACGTGGAGAGAAAGCCAGTAAATGGATTCCAGTGATTGCTTCTCTTTCTTCCTATATGAAATTGCATTTTTTTAAAACTTGTAAGGAATCTGAAAAACAACATCTTTTCAGGAAATATATGGAAAGGATAAGATCTAGGGTGGCCATGTATGCCTTTCATTTTGAACACTGAAAAACAGTGATAGAATTGACTCTATGAATATGCTGCATTATCCATCTCAAGGCCTTTGCTCATGTCCTTTCAAATGGATTGAACTCTTCTCTCTTTGTTCCACTCTTCCCATATCTGTTGAAATTCTACCTATCCTATAGGGCTAAACTGAAATTTGACCTCCTCAGAAAAGTCTCACTTGATTGCCCCAGCCAAAAGCAATCTTTCCCTGTTTCCACCTAGGATATCACTTGGTTATGCACTTATTATAGATCATTTTGTATTATAGTTATTTGCATACACAAAATACACACCTTAACTCCACAATATAATGTGACCTATATTGATGGCAAGATTTATATTTTACTTCTCATTTTGCATCTAGTATAGTGCCCTGTATGCAGTGGGTATTTAATAAATTTATTATTTTGTGATGCTGAAGCTGGTGGATAATCATGTAAGACAAATAGGTCAAGACTTAGGTGATCTTACCAGACAACCTAAGGGCTAGTGCCCATTTCTGAGTCTGTGACTGATGAGTCTCTAGTTAAAGAACCCCAATGACAACAGTGATGTGACTGCTATAGCTGTCTTACTGACGAGTGTCAGAACTACTGATAGGGAATCAACTGGAGGGAGTTCTCAGCTAAATTCCTTGGAATGGCAAAAGATGGTTATAATTCTTAAGGGCCATCTCAGCCCATAAAGTATTGTCATTCCACATCTGGAAAGAAAGGCAAAATGCTATCAGGAAATGCTTTCAGAATACTGCCTCAACCACGGCCTCTCAAGGGGAGGTGAGGAGAGGTAGGCCGTGCATGTGTATCTTTGAGGGAGGCAAGCTTTTCTCCTATAAGGTTGATCTTTAGCAAAATCCTATGATTAGAGAATTTACAGTGACCCAGAATTTATGTCTGATACTTTTAAAGGGAATAAGCATAGAGAACTCACAATTTTCTTTTTCCCCCTCTCTTTCCAGGTCAGCAGGCTATCAGCACTATTTAAAAAGAAAGTAGGGAGAAATGTTCTCCTATAGTTAGCCAACTTCTTCAAACTGATCCATAGAATACTTTTCCAGGCAATCTCTCATTAATTTCAATGGCACATGCCTAATTTGGTGGGTAAGGCCTTTCATACACTAAAGCTGACTCTCTGGGCTTATGTTAGGTCAGTTTTGCTATTTGCATTTCTGTAAAGGGAAATGAGTATAGCTGAGGAGTGAGGGGTCTCGATGCCACTCATTTTTTAGGTCTTGTAAAGAGTCCTACTAGGCCAAGAAATGGAAACTGACTGAAAGCATTACTTCTCTACAGGAAAGCTGATGCCACTGATCCTGTGTTGAAGGATGGGGCACAGTGATTATCCAGGGTACTGACCTAACAGCTTATGCAGAGTAATCCTCTGTAGAAGATGAATATAACAAACTCCTCAGAAAGTCTATTGCCAGACCATTAATGTAGGATTATTTCTAGCACAGTTCTCATTGTGACACCCGTCTTTCCTTTTATATAAAAGTTTTCTTGTTGAGAAAAAACAAACAAACAAACAAACACTACATTAATTGGAGGAGGCCCCCTCATAGCTCAGGGTGCATTTCTTATTGTTTACAGAATGTAGGGTTTATTTGATGTGGCTTGGAATGTCAAAGAATTAATGAGGTTCTATCTGTTAGGATGCCCACCAGCATCTTAAGCAGCAACAGTAATAATAGCCAAGCCATGGGCTAGTGGAGTACAGAGTAAAAAGAGATGTGTTTGGAGTAAGAGAACCTGAGTTCAAATTCTGGATCTGCTATGTACTACTGGTGTGACCTTGGGCAAGTTGCTTAATTCCTCTGGTGTCCTCATTGGTAAAATGAGGAGGTTGGAACAGATAACCTTGACGGTCCCTTCTAGATCTAAATCTATAATCCTGTCCTTTTAACTGTGCACATTTCTGAGCTGACATGGAATTCCTGCTGTCATATAAACAAAAAATGTTTCTTCCCCCTTCCCATCCTCACCCCCATTTAGGAAGGTGATCTTAAAACTAACTTTGCTGGTTTGTTTTTTTATAAGCCGAAGCCAACGTGTCCATGTCTATCAATTGATCTTACCTTGCTACACTCAGCCTAAACAATTCATATAAAGACCACAAAATGGGAAATATTCTGAGCCTTGAGCTCTGTGTTCTGGGACTTTTCTCACAATACACACATACTAACTGTCATGTCTTGAATTGAAAAAATAATAATAACAATGAGCATGTTGGCTATGTAGCAACTAATACAATTGGTTTTGACTCAAACAGGACTTATAAACCCATGTGTCAGGCATTTATCTTCTTTGACGCCTTTGCCTGGCTCTCAGCTTCAAGCGCCTGACTGGTAGACTGATGGGCTGCTTTCCAAATTTCTCCATGATCTCTTTTATCCTTGCAAGGTTGGTCTTGCTGATTGTAAAGTCACACCGAGTAGCTCCCATGTCATAACCCACGGCACAGTTCTTGGTTGAAGAGGTAAAGCCTTCTGCTCTGGCAGTGACTACATATTCTCCAGGATTTAGGAGACGCCAATAATCCCCATCGTTGGCTGTTAAAGAGAAAAAAAATGCAAGAAAAATGAAATGAGAGTACTTCTCTCCTAACTCAAGTGCTGACACACTCCTTTTAAGACGAGTCATCTAGCCAAAGACATGCTTCCAGGCAGCATTTGGCTAGTGCAGCTTTGCAATAAATTTGAGGAGCTCACATTTTTCATATTTGGAAGCTCCATTAATGGTCCTAACTGGAAGAATGATTTTAGGCTTTTAATTTTAGATTTTTATAAATACCTATAGCCCCAAGTCACACCTATGGAAAAGTCACCACAAACATATCTCCTCCTTCATGGAATGACTGAGCCATTCATTATGGAAATGGAACTTCCAAATACTAGATGGGGAAAACAAAATGCCATCCTGAAAAGTCATTATTACTTTGCTTTCCTGGTCTTTCACAGCACAACTACAAGAAAAAAAAATGTGATTAAAAAAAACATACTTCATTTTTGAAATAGAATGAAAAGGAATAGTACAAGTTGAGGCTAAATAGGCCTTGGAGTGAAGCTGGAATATATTTCTATTTTCCATGTACCAGGGGCCAAGGTAAACTTGACTCAGGCTTGTTGAGCTTCACATGTATTATAGCTGCCCTTTTGGCTGGCATGGGGATCTGAATAGAGCTCTTTTTAGGCAGAAGGTAGTCATAAGAATGAAGAACTTGGGATCAATAAATACTGGTTTCAGAACCCTGGCCTAAAGTGCCTCTTGCCATTATATCTCCCTTTGGTTGTAGCACTGAATTAGGGCACTGAGCACCTACTGCAATGCCCCAGGCACTGTGAAGGAAACAGAAGCAGCTAAGACATGGTCCCTATCTCCAAAGAGCCCACAGCTCAGCTGAGAAGAAAGGCTGGCACAGGAAGCAAGATAGTTTTAAGTCCTAAACTGTGTGTGACAGAATATAAGTGTTAGAGTAATCAGGTAATAGTGGAGTTGGAACTTAAATAGAGTCTTAAAAGATGCAGAGACAGAGTGAAGGGGATGGGTATTCTAGGTGAAGGGCAACAGCAAGAATGAAGGTCCAGGGCTACAGGATTAGAGGCCTGGCATCTTTTCTTGGGTAATGAGGAGACTAGTCTGATTAGAAGAGGACTTTTGTGAGTAATGAGAAATAAAGTTGGATAAGTAGGGCAGAGCCAGATTATAACGGGTTCTGAAGACTTTGGGGAAGAGTTAGGATTTGATGTACAGGATGGAGGGAGCCATGCGAGGCTTCAGGGTGGAGGAATAGCTTGATGAAAGCAGTGTTTGTTCATATAAATATAGTCTGGTGGTGGTAATACAGGATGAATTGCAGGGAGAAAAGTCTAAAATTAGGGAGACTGTTGCAATAGTCCAGGCATGATGAGATAAGGCCCAGGATAAGAGTAGTAGAAATGGAGGGAAACCAATAGAAGGGAGAAATACCAGAAAGGAAAAAAAAAATTACAGAATTTAGTGACTGACTAGATGTGTGATGGGGTAGAAGGGGTTGCAGGAATTGGGTATGTTTCATCTGGAGTAGAGAAGGCTCAAGTAACCATGATAGCTGTGTTCATAAATTGGAAGGACTCTCACGAGGAGGAGTACTAATATTGTTCCATTTGACCCCAGAGGGCAGAACCAGAAACAACTGGTAGAGGCTGTAAAGTAGACAATTTAGGCTTGGTATCAGGATAATTTTTCTAATAATTAGAATTTTCTAAAAGTATAATGGGTTACCTCCAGAAGTGGCAGGTTTTTCCTTCCTTGGAGCTCTGCTAAGCAAAGACTAGATGACCATGCATCAGATACATTACAGTGGAGATTCCTTTAATGTATGGTATGGACTAAATGGTGGTTGAGATCCCTTCTAACTCAAACCCTGTGATTCTGTGAGTCCCAGATGACACCAATTTTTAAGAGTCTGGGTTACTGAGAGAATGACTATAGCAGTAACAGAGGCAGGGAAGGGGGGAAGGAGGAGCTGCCTGAGAGAGAAACTGATGACTTCAGTTTTGGACAGGTTCTTCAGGTGATAAGTGATATACACAAGTGGAAATGTACAGGAGGCAGCTGGATATATAAGACTGTAGTTTAGGTGAGAGAAAAGAAATGGATATATGTCATATGCTTAAGAGGAAGTGGCATCAGAAAAATTAAGCTGCATATTGTTGTTCTCCTCCTCATCCCATAGATCTCTTTGCTATAACTATCCTAGAAATGAAAGGGTGGTTTCATTTTATTTGGATATGATTTCTTTAGAGTATAGAACTTTCAGGGGAGAAAATTCCCTCTACAAGTTCAGATGGATAACTATTTTGCAAGAGTTGGTGGGTTGAGAAAGCCTTTAGGGGCATAGAGGAACTCTGTCTGAATTAGCAGAAAATCTAAAATATGACATTGAAAGAAAGACTCGATTGCCTTCAAGTGCTGCATATCTTATACACTGACATCTGAGCATGTATTACTAAGTAAAATGTGGCAAATTCATGAAAAATTATAATACGACCCAGGCCTGAATTTCCGTGCTATATCATAAACATGACACTAACGCGACATGCCACTAATTTTGAACTTTTTTTATATTAGCAGCTCACATTTATAAAGTATTTTACAGCTGACAAAGGGATTTCCTCAAAAGAACTATATGAAGTAGGCAAAGACATTTTAAGTATTATTATCCTCATTTTACAGAGATGGCTTTACTGAAGAGTTTTGTATATTGCTCCTGAACTATTACATGGCTCCAAATTACTATAGTCCACAGCAATGCATTTTTTTCTTTCCTGCATTTATTCCTCAGTGCCTATAAGCAATAGACTTAAAATCCTATTTATTTTGGGGGAAAGAGAGAAAGAATCCAGAATTCAAATGGAGAATAATATAATAATAACTATAACAAGCCTATATTAATAGAAATGCGGTATCACTCTAAAAAAGCTTGTTATAGAGAGCAAACATTGACATTCTCTGGGCTTTCAATAATGGTTTCTAATGCCTTAGATATGTTTTGAAGGGGAGATGTTTAACAGAAGCAGTTAGACAAAATGTTCTATTCAGAAGACTAACCTGACTATAAATTGAAACCCTGCCTAATCTGAGCATATGTACAATTCTAGGCCTCCAAAGGCTGTGTCAATGGACTCTGAATTTGGGCTGGTGCTTCCAAGCAAGAAAGACTTCAAATGCAGGCTGCAAGTCAGATGTTGCCAATATTCAATGGGCTGTGTCCATCACATAAGGACTAGCCTAGGGGCAGTAGGGTGGTACAATAGATAGAATGCTGGGCCTGCAGTCAAGAAGAGGAACTCTTCCTGAGTTCAGATATGACTCTCAGACACTTAACAGTTGTGTGACCCTGGGTAAATCACTTAACCCTGTTTACCTCAGTTCCCTCGACTGTAAAATGAGCTGGAAAAGGAAATGGCAAACCACTGTAGTATCTTTGCCAAGAAAACGCCAAGTGGGGTCATGAAGAGTCAGACATGACTAAAACGACTGAACAACAAAGTTAGATTCAGAGAGGTACAGCCCCAGAAAGTGTGACACCAGGTTTTATTGTTTTATTTTACTAGTAGGGGTGTGAGGAAGTTGGGTGATGTATCTGTATTAGAAGAAGGGTCTATACTAACAGAATCACAGCTCCTTTGGAGGTCTGCAGTACACCCAGTAGTCCAATACACTCAAATACAGAAATAAATGTCTTTGGTCAGTTTCTTAAGACTTTACCTGATTTCTCACTTAGGTGAAAATATAAGGTTTTCACACATATTAAAAGTCACACCAAAGCCATTCTGAGGATTTGATATGAGAATTAAATTCTAACTGGCCATTATCTCCCCACCAGAGAGGTAAAGGCCATGAATTATGGTTTTGCCTTCTAGGTTAGGTGTTTATAGGAATCAGCAGGTCTGCACTGTGTGTGAAAAACATCATGCCTAGAAAATCTTACTAAGAAAATTTCCACGTGTGGAAGAAACTGTATAAGCCAAAGTCAGAAACAAAAAATAGGAACAACAAAGGAATCAGACCTAACCGAAACCCCAGGAAGCAGCTCTGGATGTGGCATTCTTATAAGAGTGTTCTGAATCCCTTATTCCTAGTGCCAATGCACTGCAAGACTAGCCAGTCACAACAAGATTTTAATGTGAATATATCAACCAATCGAGTCATTATGCACTCGTCAGCTATTACCATCAGAAGCTCCACAGGTACGTGATCGGAAGAGGGAAAGGGGGTGGGGGGGATGATGAAAGAAATCAAACTCATTCTGTATGGGGAAAGGCACCCTCCAAATCCTTTTGGCAAAGATTAATTATTATAGTGAGAGCCATCTGCAGAGTACTACCCTTCTAAAAGGAACTTGTCTAAGTTAAAATATATGGAAGCTAAGCTAATTCATCAAATCTTTGAAACTCACGCGTCCATAGTCTTTCACATTCCCAGACATGCTGCTTTCAGGATCTATGATTTTACTGCTGTGGACAGCTCCCTTCCCCACAACTCCAGATGTATATTATGACAGTTTACACATTAGCAGGTAGTTTTCATGAGATGTGTTACCAACCTTCTAGTGATCAGCCTCCTTAAACTTAACTAGGCAGGTCTTCATGTGGCCAAACATATAATTTTTTTTTTGAGTACATAGTCAATGCTTTTCCCAACTTAATAGGATCTGCCAAAGTTAGTACATAGGATTAATAATTTACAAAGTGCTCTTGATCTATTGTCTCATCATTGGGGTGGGAGGAGTGGGAATCACATCACTAACGTGGGAAACAAGGGTAGAATGGAACATCTCATTGTTTCACGTGAAAATGAAATTCTTTTGTTTTCATTTTCTCATTCCTAGAAAATGGCTTTTTTCCATCCCTCATCATCACAGGTGATAGGTAGTGTGATAGAAAGAGAATTGCCCTGATATTAAGAAGTCTAGGATTTAAGTCCTAAAGATTCATTTTACTATGGGATTGTGGGCAAGTTGCTTCATCTTTCTTAGCCTCAGTTTCTTCATCTGTCAAATAGGAAT